CTTCTTTTTTTTTTTGTCTATATTCACCGCCCCGTGGTTCCACGAAACCCGTAATTTTTATATTTCTCTGAGGACCCTTCCGCTTGCGGGATTTCGTATTTATTAATAAATATACGAGAGGGCGGGGGGAGAAGTTTTTCTCCCCCCCCCCGCCCCCCCCCCCCCCCACCAATCTTCCTTTCCCCGATGAACAAGGTTATGGAAGCGATTGTAATGATACAAATCCAAACAGAAATAAATAGATAAATAGAGTTTTCATTTGGCTGGTAAGAAGAGCGTCCGATGTCTAGTGTTTCAGAATATTTTTGTAGTAATCTAATTTTCGTTTCATTACGAGAGATATACTTCTAGCCGGCTCCGTTTTAAGTGCTTGTTTCACAGTCACACGCACACACACACACACACACACACACACACACACACACACACACACACACACACACACAAACACACATACACACACACATACACACACACATACATACATACACACACAATGCCCAAAATTACTCTATTTCGCTAAAACACAACCACTCCCTCCAAAGATGTACAGGTAAATATAATATATAATATATATATATATAATAATTCAAAATGTTCGTCTAAGGAATTTATGGTATGTTCCCGGGGTCGACCTCCCCACACTCCCTTGAAACAGGTCGGAATAATAATTGAATAAGCCGAAACTAGGATCGAAACTCATTGCTTGAAACGACTACCATGACTTTTTTCTTTTTCACGGAAAGAGGCTGCTAGCTATCCATACCCGTAGAAACAACATCCAGAACCACTGTTACATTTTTCAGAAAATTACACAACCAACACTAGATGTTTCCGTCCTGTGAATATATACGATTTTTTGAGAGATTTAAGAAGAGAGAGAGAGTGAGAGAGAGAGAGAGTGAGAGAGAGAGAGAGCGAGAGAGAGAGGGGGGGGGGAGGGGGGAGAATGGTAGGTTTGTAACAAAATGATGAAAGTAAACCATTTACAGAGACCAAAAAAAAAGAAATACAATTTTTAAAAAAACAACAAACAAACAAACAACCAAACTAATAAATTCCATCCATAGTAAAGAATTATAGAAAGTTGACCGATGCTTTTCAAATTGTCTAATTAGTTGCAACAAATCTGTTGTCTAATGCATGCTATTTCATCCCAATAACTGTCATGTGAAAAATATAACGGATTCTAAACTTCCCAATATTTAACATAAACTTTAGGTTGTTACTTCGGTACGGGAAACACGTTTCGAATCTTTCACATTCTATTTTATCGAATCTTTTCAGGTTACGTTTTCTCTTACTTAGGAGCAATAGGTAATAAACACTAATCATTGTCTTTCCTACTTTAAAGATTTATCGGCGATAAACACTATCCTTTAAGTTACTAATACTATTTTTTGCTTTGTTTCAAAACTTGTAGCACCGTCCCCTACGTAGAAGTCCATCATCTTAAAACAGTCTTAACTAATTTGAAAGAAGTGCAAAATTCTAATTAGCGAACGACAACACCTGACCCTACCACGAGCGTTTGTTTACTTTTTTTTTGTGTTCCCCAAGAGCGTTCTTACCGTGCAGTTGAGCATAGTAATTCCTGAGCGAAGGATGCATATAGTCGGTGAACGAACGAGTGTGCGGGTGAGTGAGGGAACATTTTATACCAGCCACGCGACTCGTTTGTTTCTTCCCCCCCCCCCCACCTCTCTCTCTCTCTCTCTCTCTCTCTCTCTCTCTCTCTCTCTCTCTCTCTCTCTCTCTCTCTCTCTCTATCTCCCTCGTTTTCTGGTGTCTTTCTCTCTCTCATCTCTCTCTCTTTTCTCTCTCTTCCCTCCCTCTAACGTACTCTCTCTCTCTCTCTCTCTCTCTCTCTCTCTCTCTCTCTCTCTCTCTCTCTCTCTCTCTCTCACCACATACGTAGCCCCTGGGCTCTTCCCGTCGTAGCGCGCGCCAGGCCAGACGTCTGCCTGCTGCCGTGGTTTTGTGGTCTGTGGTCTGCGCCGTCACCGCCCCCGCCGGCACAAACGAGAGAGTTGCGGACCCTTTGCTTGCACTTCCTAAATCATCTCTTTTACCCCTGCCGGCGTCTACGGTGAGACAGATACGCTCTTCGTCGCGCTCGTAAAATGTAACAGAATCCTTTGCGTGACCACCAAATTGATTGATGATGGCGCATTATACTGTATACCCCAACCACACCCCAACCCCCACACACATATCCACACTGATGCTAGGCTATCAGAAGTCGTGGCCATTCAAAGAGACAAAATTAAGACGATGCGATCTGAATTTGTAAAGGCTTTCATGTACTTCTTTACTGTGCATTATTGGGTATCTTAGGAACAATTTGTGCAAGTGTTTTACACCGCTATCGACGCAATTTAGATAAAAATATAGGAAGCTTACTGGTTCGTCCCAACCCGTCACGGCCAAACTGAGTGGAGAGGGATATGACGTCCAGATGGAAACACCCGATAATAAAAGGATTTGAACTCACTTCTTATGGGTGTAGTGTTTAAGTGTTTAAGCTTTCCACCATATGTGCCGTTTTGTGGATATCCGAACGCAAATTACATTATAGAACTATAGATAAATTGCAAATGTATTAGAAGCGACACCGGCTATAATATATATATATATATATATATATATATATATATATATATATATATATATATATATATATATATATATTTATATATGTATATTATATATGTTGATATAGATAGATAGATAGATATTATTTGTATATATATATATAATATATTGAATTTATATATATATAT